TATAGGGAAACCTTCGCTAGTTCAGTTCCTTGCAAGTAATCACCTCGCTGCTTTCTTCCCCGCAGAGAAATCTGGCTCAGCTCCCTCCGGAGGCCCTTCCCGGCTCAGCAGCAGCAGCTCCTCCGAGTCTGGGAGCAGCAGCTCCAGTGGCTCCAGCTCGGACAGCAGCGATTCGGAATGAGTTACGGACACTTACACATAAAACACAAAATGGACATCACCCTCACCGATCATCTGCAGTGTTCCTTTCTCTCCTTAATATACTGCTCTTGTTCCACGGTGGTCAGGTTTTTTTCCTCTCTCTTTCTCTGACTTTTTTTAATTTTATTTTTTAATTCAGTGTTACAAAAGGTATCTTCCATTTTTGGGGGGGGGGGGGCGCTCTTTTAATAGGTCAAAGATCTTTGCGTGTGCGTGTGTGTGTGACTAGACTTTATGACAAATAGTTCCCTTTGCATAAAGTCTCTAAAATACATTTTAACTGAAGAAGGTTGGTTGAAAATGGAAGAACTTTGAACTCTTAGCAGGAAATAAATAGAAAGTTCTGCAAGGTTTGTAGTACATTTCCCTTCTGCCCCTTCCCTCTCCGCAGAATGTTCCCTTTTAATAAGCCTGCCTGGCTCACACAAGGTAAAAAAATCTTTTTTTAAAGAATTCTCTGTAAAATGGTACTGTATCTGAAAGATGTTAGCTTTTGAACTAGTTGGTGTATTTGTTATTAGCACTAGTATTCTTAATCTTGAAGTCTACGGTGTGATGAAAATGTCAGATGCTATCATCTTTTTACATAAAAACAAAACAAAAAAAAATTCTCATGTACTGTGGATTGCTAACATGCTTTTGTTTTTTTTTTTTTAATTCTTGGTAGAGGCATAGGCACCTGTTCAGGAAGATATTTAAGCATGAATTTAACTTTAAGCACACGAGCAATACCAGTGGTTGCATTTCTTCTTTTTCCACTGAACATTTTAATTTTTCTTGGGGATACGTTGGGAAGAAGGGAGCAAGGGACACTAAAGTTTCTTGGGAATGTTATTTTTAACATTACATAGATAACTTGAGGAAATGGACACTCTCTATGAAAGTTTTCTTTTAATTGAAACAGTTTTTGGCTGAAAGGTCTCAGCTGGACCTCAGAGTGTGATGCCTGCAGAGTGACCAAGGCAAGTCATGTGCTCGTTATTAAACACATGCTTAAGTACTTTCTCCATGACAAACACCTTAGTCTGGGCTTAAAATAAAGGAGCACTTGAGCTCCAGCTGAGGCTGAGCTGGCAGGGGAATTGGAGAGGGATGTTGTGTGTGTTTGGGTTTCTTTTTCCTTTTTTTCCCTTATCATTTCAGTAGTGAGCTCCTAGAAAGGGAATGCTACTTTCGTGTCATGCAGGGTGCAGGTTTTCAGACACTGAAATGCTTACCTCAATAAAAAGAAAAAAGAGAGGAGGGAGAAAAAAAAGAAGAGAATTTTTTTAATGCTTGCTATTTTTTGAGTCCAGCCTGATGTTTTGAACTGCACTACTGCAATACACTCTTTTCACTGCCCCTAATTTCATGTATATACAAATACTTTATTTATTAAACACCATTGGTCCTTTAAAACTTAATAAAAACAAACAAACAAAAATTCTGCATTATGCAAACCAGCAGAAATGCAGACTTTTAATGTGGTTTGAACCAGATTAAAAAAAAACCAACCAAACAAAAAACAAACCAACAAAACCAACAACAAAACAGCAAATAAAAATGAGACTTTATTTAAATCCAATGGACTTTATACCTACAGGTGCTACAGTCCAGTCTATTGTGTGTCTGGTCCTCTGTCATGTTTGGTGTGTTCATTTTTGGTTTTGTTTTCTCTCTTCTGTATCTTTTCACCCCAGCCTCCTTTTTTCCTGTTTTGTACAGATTTTGGAGACATACAGGTAGACACAGTTTCTTGATGCAGCACATTATTATTTTCTCTGTAATATTTCCAGAGGTCTTTCCCCTCCCCTTTTTTTGTAGAACAATGTTTTTTTTATTGTTATAATCCAATTTTAGGAAAACACCAGTTCTATAATGATAATTATATAAAACTTGAGGGGCAGAAATTTATTGTAAATTCTTAACTTTTTATTGTAAAGAAAAAATATACAGAGTTTAACAGAAAGTTATGCCTTTCCCTCTCCCAGCACCAACCCCTAAGGCTGCCTCTCTGCTGTGGGGTAGCCCTAAAATTCAGCCTTCTGTGGTCTCTAATAATGGTTTGCCAGAGACCCCGTGGTGCAGATTGCACCAGCTTCTATTTTTCACGTAGGTGAACGGCCCTGGAGGGCTCCTCAGCCCCAGCACACAATTTTCAGTGCATGCTCAGCCTCCCAGAGCTAGGACAGGAGATCGCGTGCTGGGATGTGTGGTGTCTGGGTGATGTCCCTTTGCTGGAAGGCTGGGTAAGCGCAGGGCCAGCCTGTGATTAGCACTCCATGGTTTGCACTTCTGACTGCATCCACGCTCAGCTGCCAGTCACTTAGTGCCCATCTGCTGAGGTTTTAGACACTAAAACGCTTGGACACGTAGGAGATGGGAATTATCAATAATTCTATTCTTGCATTTTGTCTTTAAAAATCTTTCTTTCAAAGAACAGCATTTCAGAGTGTTCAGATCTGTGTCTCATACAGCTGACGTGCCTCTGCCCATGTCTTATCTGTATAGTGACAAATAACACACTCTCCACAGTTTGCTGTAGAAAAGAATTCCCTTTCTTTTTGCTAAGGGTGGAGAGCACGATGCTGTGTTGCTGTGAGGCACTGAGTTCCTTCCGTAAGTTGCTGGGCACCCTTGGCTCATTTTGCAATCACTAGGGTGCTTGGCCTGTTGGCAGGAGGCTCTCAAGTCTTTGCAGATAGTTTCCCATAGTATTTGAAAGTGGATGAACTCGGGTATTCTGATTCTTACTGAAATGAATGATGTTTCTTTTCCATTAAAGACGGAGTTATTTTTAGTTCCTATATTTTTTTTAAATTCTGCCCTTAAAAAAGTCTTCCCCTAGACAGATCCTTAGTAATATATTTTCAGAATTTACTATGAGGAAATGTAATATACACCTAATTAAAAGCTTGTTTTTTTTTTTTAATGGGGTTGGGTTTCATCTGTGTTTCTCCTATTGTCTGAGACTTGTGTTACCAAAACCAACTAGTATTTTAATTAAAACAATTGCAGCCCATTCAATACCATGACAGCTTGGATAAACAAGATCCCAGTTTTGCCTGCTTGAAACCTTTTCCCTGTGTGTTTTAACCTGAGCTGTGCCATTGCTGCAATGTGGTGGTGGCTCCTGTGCAGAGAACAAACCGCAGCTGGTGTTGGAGGCAATGGCAGCCGCTCTCGCCAGCATCACCGCCACGCAAAGCCCGGGGACCCAGCTCTGCAGCGTGTCATCGTCCTCCGACGGCAGGGACACCCCCGTGGACCACGGCCAGGGTACAAGACGTTCCTCTAGGATGCGTAGGTCTGTCCCACTGAAATCAGTGGAAGGGTTAGGGCCAAAGGGTTGGGGACCAAGCGTGAGCTGATGGAAAGGGGCCGGGCCTGGGACTGTCCGCGGCGCTGGAGGAGGGATGCCTATTGTAGTTGGCGAACCTGTCCTAGCTTGGGGATTTGCAAGGAAAACAAGCAACCAAAACCAACAAGGAATATGAAGAACCACCTGCATATCTTTGATATACCCATCTGCAACTTGGGCTATTCTTCAGTGGGAAACTTTGTTTTCATGAAAGTAAGGTGTTCCCTATGAAATGGCTGTTCACAGGAGAAACCCATTTTGGCATGACCTTAATTTCAGGAAGGAAATTGGTGACTTTTCATTTCAAACTGTTGTTCTTAAACTTTTTCATTTTCGTATTGTTTGTAGCACTCATTATCTCCCAACATGTCAGTAATGGTGCCTCTTGTATCTCCAGATCAGAGTGTCTCCGGGAAAGAAGAGATGTTTTCAGTCCATAGTAAGTAGCAGCAGCCCTTAATGAGTTGGAAACTGAAACAATAGAGCATTTATTTAACTGAGTTTGTATTGCATGACATGTCAGTACAGATGTCATGAAATAACTTTATAAATGATCAAACATGCGACATTGGAAATAACATTTTTTAAACTTAAGAATAAAAAAAGATTGAAATTTTTATGGTAGAATTTTTCTTGAACAAACAAAGTTTAACTTTGTTTTCCAGGGGAAACTTCACTGAAATCAGTACGATTTCATACGTATGCATACACACAAATAGTTTTATTGAAACTGTTTTTTTTTCTGAGGAATTCCTGTTTTGAGAAAACAATATCTGACCAGACCTATTGTCAATCAACCAGCGTTACTGCACCTTTAAAAACTTCGTTAAACTTTATCCGATTGTAAATTCAGCCTGTTTCTTGGCATACCATCAGATGCAGGCTCAGTGGGACCAGAGCGAGATCTGCATCCCTCAGGCTCAGGCCCCGATCCATCTACTGAAGGAATCTGTTGGCGTATGACAGTTTTCTGCTAACCAAATGTCTCTACAGAAGCATTTCAGTTTTGTATTGCTGTGATTTTAAGCTTTCCTACCGACAGGGTTTGTAACTGTAGAACTGATATTTCAGGACTACATAACTGTTGTTTGTGAGTGTGTGTATAATAGATGCACGCACCCCCCCACACACATACACAAGCACATGTGTGCGTGGATATACGCAAGGTAGTTACCCAGTGAGGTCTCTTTCCATGTTCTTGGTGTGGTAGAAGCAGACTGCAGTTACCTAATCTAGTTCTTTCTCTGTTTTGGGGACTCTTAGACCAGTTTTTAATTTTTTCCTTGTTTTGAAAGGAATGATGTTTTTTAAAAGTTGGGGTTGGAGCTAGGGGGAAGGGATTGGGGCATGATGAAGAAAAAACACAACCTTTTTAATACTGGATTTTAAAAAGACATATTCTCCAACATGAGCAGTTACCACTAGGGCTAACTGTGGGCAGGCTCTGCACTGTTGAAGATAAATTTAGGGCGAGGATTCATAGCAGCATTATCTTGCTTGTAAAACAATGAAATGCATTTTTTTTTAAAGAAAGGGTATTTGCATATCTTTTACAAAGTCATTTTTAAAAAGAAATAAACCACCAGCTAGGATTTGACACAGGCCACTTAGAACTTACCCCTGATACTGGCATAACCAAT